TAAATTAAAATATTTAAAAAGTTTCTTTAGAAAAGGTGAAAAGTTTCTGGTTTCATTTTCCTTCTAAAATCTTGTGACTTTTAAATTTCTAAACTACTTATTAAGCTCTGCTTTTCATCAGCAAGTCATGCATCATTGGAAACTGATACAAAAGCATGACTTTACCTCACAGATGGTCCCTATTTGGGATAATAGAAGTATATTAATTAAGAGAAAATCCTGTTGTTATTATAAGGAATGAATGGACAGAGGTATCTGGTATTATTCATTTATTAGATTTTAACATATAATACTTTTGTGGGAAAATACAATCTTACAGGCATTTCCACAAGCAATGATTCAGTTAGTTACAGGCATCCTGATTTATTCTACAGTTATTCCACACAAGCCTTCAGTAGCTATGAATAGATGTAGTTAATTAGATAAAATAAATGCAATAATACATTTGTGAGGAGTGTTGTCACTTCAGTTTGTTTTCCATCACCCTTGATGCGAACACACAGTATGTTCCAAGGATACAGCAGTAATTTGACAGTCAAAATAAGAACCAGATAACTCTCTTTTTTCCCAACTCCACCTCAGGCTAAAGAAGCTCACTTAAAAATATTGAATGTTATATTTACAGATCAGACATTTTATATTCACTGCCTGCAAGTTTCCTGACGATAAGTACGTTAGGAGCACTCTCGATGACCTTCTTCTCATTCCAAATATTACAAAAAAGTTTATTTCCATTTTTTAGCAGAAGCTACAGTCCTTGGACAAATATAACATTGATAAAATTATTAGTACATGGGAGAAGGACCAAGGAATCCAATCTAGCCAGGAAGAGTGGTCTAAGATATTTTCATTGTCAAGTAAAATATTCTTATGTAATCGGTTAAATGAGAGCCAATACCGAATATTTCACAGGCTACAACGTACACCCCAGTTTCTCAATAAATGCAACTCCAATATATCTCCCATGTGTAAAAAATGTAAGAAAGAGTTGGAAATGCCCTTTTATTGCACGTTTTTGGAAAAATATTAAAAAAGAGCTTTGTACAATCTTGGGCATGGACATTAAAAGGGAACCTGCATTGTTTCTGTTGGGATTCTCTCTAGAAGGTCTCGATCTTAACCCCTCTCAGTACACTCTTATAACAAAACTCCTGTTACTAGCTAGACGATGTATTTTGTCCCAATGGATTAAAGACAAACCCCCAACAGTAACGCAGTGGTACAGAGAAATTTATAAGGTCTTACCAATGGAAAGCCTCTCTGCTACCTTAGGGGAGAACAATACTTTTTTTTTTAAAATCTGGTAACCAATTTTAGAGCATCTGCCATATGAAATTTCAGACTTACTACAGAGGGGTGGATTAAGAATGAATTCAGATTGATAGTTATTCCCTTCTTTTTTTTAAAACACAGGAATGGAGTAAATTTTCCTTTTGTGCTGTGCTTGTCCTGTGATGTATATTGTCGATGCTGCCATTTTGCTATGATTTGTGATTCAGGTGCTGTCATGCTTGTTTGTTTGTTTGTTTTTCTTTTTGTTGTCCTGTTTTGTTTTTCTGTTTCCTTTTGCATTCTGAAAATTAAAATCAATAAAATATATAATAAAATAAATAAATATTGAATGAGATTTACACATTTAGTGACTTCTGACGCCAAAGGTTTAATTTGGATTTAAATATTTGTACTTTGTGTAACTCAGATATTGACACCTTAGAACATCATTTCTCCTCTTTCTAATCTTACGACTCTAAATTATGAAAATATAAGGGTTGGTATCCAACTGGAGGACAAAGCAGAGTTTAGGATTAATAATTTCATTATTTTGGGAATATATTTTATTTACAAATGTCTTTTTTTCCCATAAAATTAGCCCCATCTTTCCTGCAAATTAGACTGTTCCTTTAAAAAATGTGTGAAATGCTGTGAAATTAGACAGACCCCACAGCTGTATGAATATCTGTGTACCTTAATTCCTGAATGCCCACATGTATTTTGTTTTTTATTTCATTTTTGTTCATTATTATTTATTTATGTTTTGTAGTTTAGCTCAGTTATATTAATACTGTAACCTGTATTTAAATGTCATATGATGAGCCTTTTTGATTGTAAATAAAATTCATAAGAAGATCTGTGGCCAGCAGGCACTGTAATGCCTCTTAGGAATGTAATTAGACCTACACCCAGATCTGGACCTTTACCCAGTGCAGCTGACTCCCCAGGAAGAAAAATCTGTTTCTCGCCACGTCTCCAAAATAATAATACCAGAGCTACACATGCCCTTTTTGTCATATTGGAATCATTCGAAAGGACAGTACAGACTTTTTGAAGTGGGGTTGTATGGGGTACCATAGACTGTCTTTTACATACAGTAGATGTCAGCCAGCACGTCCCCAGTTTGAAGAGGCAGGCTGAAGGTCCACATGGAAGCTAAGTAATGTGCCGCTGTGGAGGCGTCAGCAACAAAATTAATTTTAGCCACCTTAAAAAAGTCCTAACAAAAAAAAAGAAAAATCAATATGAGGTTAACTGTATACTTTATTTAGGATATATTTTCACTGCTTTACCTTAATGTCAGACACTGATTTCCAACTAAAAAATAAAGCAGTTATATCGCTCTCTTCAAAGCCAGACTCCATTGAGAAAAACAGTCATTTAGCATTGCCTAACACAGGAGCTGCTGGTCGACTGCTGCCTCAAACAATTATATTGTTTGTGTTATTGTGTGACTTTGGTGTTTAGAATAGTTAGTTCAGATTAACTAAAATCACAATCACAAATTAACTAACTGATCAAAGCAACAGTAGACCAGCAGCTCCTGTGTTCTGTGTGCTAAAATTACTGTATCTTTGGAACACGCTGTCTGATAAAGAGCTACAGTAATGAAAATACTCTCGATATAGCGCACACTTGAACTGACACTGATGGCTAAAATACATTTTGCTGCTACTCCCCTCCACAGCAGTGGATTACTTAGCTTCTGTGTTGACCTCCAGCCTGCTTCTCCAAACCGGGGGCGTGCTGACAAACGTACTGCATATAATATACTGTCTATGGGTAAGTACCTCATACAACCCAACTTCAAAAAAATCTGAAGTCTCCCTTTAACAGTGACTAGTTTCATTGCAGATCGACTTCATGTCCAGATGTACTTCTACTGTATAAAGTTAAAACTGGCTCCACACTAGCCGACATCCCAACTCTTCTTACATTAAAGGGTAACCTCCCCAGACAGCATGTTTTCTCCACATCCTGTGCAGCAGTAATGTTTGTGTGTGGCAATAGCGCCATACATCACAGACGGGTGTGGTCACAATTACCACAGATCACAGAGCACTCACAGCTATGACGTGCTGTGTGTGGTCGGACGTTCAAGAGACTGATGACTTCTAACCCTCAGACAAAACAACTTTGCTTTTACTCATTTTAAAATCAAAAGTGGACACACCCCTTAATGCATCAGTAATATTGATCCACTATACAAAAATAAAGGGGAAAATGGTGCTTTAAAAACAAATAAAACGATGAATTCACTGATACTGACAGGAGGCCAGAACAGGGAAGATGTGCTGTGTTCTTGGTACAAGTTCGGAGTCTGTGTGATGCATTGTGGGTGAACTCCAGGTGAGACGAGGCTGACAGCTGATGCCATAACAAGAATTTCAATATTCAAGATGAGAGGTGATGAATCTTTTTTTGTACCACACATTTTATACAACAGGGCAATTCAAAGTACATAACATATAGAACAAAATAAAGGATACAGATAACAATAAAAGATTAAAGACACCAAAGATAAATAAATACGATAACGTTAATTCACGAAACATTTTGCCTAGATATAATCTTAAAAAAATCCAGCGTCCATTATCTCCATGGTCATAAAGAGCTGAAGCTGCCCATTCCCTTGATAATATATATATATAGTCTTTTAAACAATCATTTATGGGGCGTCGGTAGCGTAGTGGATAGTGCCGGCGCCCCATGTATAGAGGTGATGCCTCGCTGCAGCGGTTGCAGGTTCGACTCCAGCTTGTGACCCTTTGCTGCATGTCAACCCCCACTCTCTCTCTCACCCCATTTCACTCTGTCCTGTTCATTAAAGGCAAAAAGCCCAAAAAATAATCTTAAAAAAAAAAAATCATCTATATTAAAACAATTGATGGACAGAATGATGGACACTGAGATATTTTCACATCCAGGATAGAGGACAAACTTAATATCATCTTGTCCCAAAAACATCTCACTGGGGAGTAATGCCACAGCAGATGCATGAGTGATTCAACATAAATGTGAAAGGGAGTGTATCTGCACGGTGTAATATACACCACCCTATGTAACACTTTTATTTGTAAAAGTCTGTAAAAAGAGCAAAAGTGCAGGAGAGAGGTGCAACAATAAAATTATTGTCTAAAATGATTTAAAATCAAGTTTAAAAATAAGTTTGCAGTCATTACAGGGAGGAGTAGAGGAAAATTTGATGTAAAAGTGGTCAGAGTTGGGGCTTGTCATCATCTGGGGGGTTATTCCAGGTTGGTGATGCATGATAACAAAAAGGAGAAGTGTTTTTAAATTTAGAATTAGTTATGAATGAATGAATATTGGTAACAGAGTTGTTTTGCTGTTTATGGCAAGAGAAGTTATTATAATTAAAAACACCTATTCTCATACATCAGTTTGATAAGTGCTCATGATGAAATAATGTATGCAGAGATGTTTTAATTACATGTAAGAATGTGTCAGTTACGCAAAGTTTGGGATGAGCTGCCACTAATCATACATGTTTATCTCCTGAATTATGGCGTGTTTCTATGGGGTGACTTTCCTGGGACATTTTGAGGTCAGAGAAATTATCAACGTGATTTTCAACACTGTTTTTTCAGAGATGATGGGAATACGCACACCCTCAGGGATGACTCACAGCAAAACACATGAGGTTTCAATTACAAGAGAGACGGGGGGGGGGAAACGCCGAAACACAGTTCATTGCCCTGGGACATGATGTTTAAACGAGCCTGTGTGTCAGTGACAGATAAAGCACTGAGCGGACCTCTCTGACAGATCACAGCCTCTTCACTTGCAGAACAGACCGCTCTCACCTGGAGGACTGATCCCAGACATGAGGCTCTGTGTCCGGGCTGGAGCTTGGTGTCTCCTGCCTGTCCTGGTTCTTCTGACTGTCCTTCATGTCAAAGCTGAGGAGCAGCAGCCAAAGGAGAGACACTATTATATTGCTGCTGTCGAGATAGACTGGGACTACTCTGGCAATGACGCACAAAGGTAGGATACTGCTGGTTGGAGACTTAGACAAGAATTAAGGCAAACATTTTACATGCAGCAGGTGGTAAAGGCTATATTTCAATTATTCTCATTCTGTTATTATAATGAATAATTATTTAAATTATGATTTATTTCATTTCTGTCCACCTAAGCTCATCTAAAAGTCTTGACGCTCTGTTATTTAAGTTGTTTGTGCTTTGTAAAAACATTCCAGTCTGTCCTTGTTTCATTCCTCAGGCAGCCTGTTCTTCCTCCTATGATTAAATAATCATTACTACAACACACACACATTTACACACACACTGGGTCACACACATTAGTTGCAACACGGAGGGAAACTTGTGCCTTCATATCTCAAAGTCCATATCTGGTTGCTAATGCTGCACTGCTGTGTTTGACTTGTGCTTCTCTGGTGTGCTGATTCATGTTTTGTGTTTTTCCGTTATTCCTCAGGTCGGGTCCCACCTATAAGAAAGTGGTCTTTCGGGAGTATGACAAAGACTTCAAACAGGCTAAGACTCATCCCTCCTGGTTAGGTAAACTTCCCGTAGGGTTTCCACAAAGACACTGTCTGACTCTGATTCCTAGGAAACACTTCTCCTGTCCTCAGATCCCCTTTACACTCAGATGGTATCTTTCGTTTTCCAATTAATTCCCAGAATGTGTACTTAACAGATATTTCTCAAGAGGTTTCTTTAAAGGAACAATGTACTTTGGTACTAATTAGAGGGGTATTAAGGATGTGTTTAACTGGTACACATAGTAAGTGCCTGCTGATTTCTTTCAGTTTGTAAATTAAAAAAATAGATGGATTTGTTGGGCTGATCTGAATGCTTCAAAGTTTCAGGCGTTAATCAATGTTCAAATCAGTATTTAAATGCTCTATTTTTCTATACCATTACCCTCAAAAATAGATAGAATAGCCCATAAAGTAATATATAGCAATTCAATATTACTCGTTATGCATCAGTGTTAATTATTAGTTATTCTCAGACACGGACATTTAAACTTAGCAACAGGCCTAGTTTTGTGAGTACATCAGTCTGACCACCCGTGACAGGCTCACAGATACACTAGCATGATGTTGAAAAGGTCAAAATTTCAAAAGCTGGGCAAATTTAGGAAGCTTTGATTCATCACAGATATTGCCCCAAAAAGGGTATTCAGCCCTGGTAATTAGACAGATTATACAGATGGGTGGGAAACTTAAGTATAAATCTGAAATAAGTGTTGAATCAAAACAAATGCAGATGCGTCCTCACAGGCAACCCTGTTGCCAGGAAAAATGTTGGCATTGTACGTTTCTGCAAACCACAGACACGTTACATTTGTACATCAGTATGTAACAGATACATTGAAACTTAACAGCTCTTGTGTTAAATTGTGGTAAGAGATTTAGGTCCAAAAATGCTTGGTTCTGGTTAGGACAAGATCATGTTTTTGCATAAAACATTCACTCATGGTGGCACGATCCAGGCAGGAAGCACAGCGATGTTTTGGTGAAAAAACAACAGCTTTTTGTTGCACTATTCCCCGCTAGAAACACAGCGAAGGGTCTCGAAAAAACACCCAGGTTTGTTGGCGCGCATATATTGCGTTACTTTAGAAATGCTAATATGATACATATGAAACGTGCAGATGTAACACATCGGTGGTTTGCAGAGACGTGCATTTTCTTCTGGCGCCTGCCTGATACAAGGCATGAGGAGTCAAAGATTCACCTGTGGGAGATTTTGTAGACGTGTCAGGCAGCACTCTCCAACGCCGTAATTAAAACACCAAATTAGGGAATTGTATTTTGGATAAATGCTGTTCTATGTTAAGAATTATTAAAGCTGCACTGTAAAATATTTGACTGTACATTTACAGTAAATTACTGGCTTCTTGTTACTTTACTTTCGCAGTAAATTACTGTTTCATTTTCACAGTAAATTGTTGTGAAATAACAGCTGTCTACTGTGATCCCACTGTGGCCATGCCTGCATATTACTGTGATTTAGAAGTATGCTGCTGTAAATTTACTACATTTAACTGTAACCTCACAGTTAAAGCCTGTTACATTACTGTGATATTACAGTATGTTCCTGTAAATTCCCCAATTTAACTGTAACTTCACAGTTTGTGTACATCTGATTACTGTGATTTATCAGTATGCTTGTGTAAAATTTACTATATTTACCTGCATGATTTTCACAGTAAAATTCTGAATCTGGTCAAATATCACAGTAAAAGCCAATAATGTAATTTATTGTGAACTATTACAGTTACATATTTTAACTTCCTAGAAATAATTTGCAGTGTGTTCTGTAAACTCGTCGTGGCCCAACACCTTTATAAGACCGAAAAGAAAATATTCTTCAGGAACAGGAAAATATTACTAACGTTATACAGTTGGGCATATCTTTCCTTTAATGTGTCACCAGTGTCTAGAACAGCATAGGTAATGGGGTTTATAAGCAGCATGCAATTTTGAAGAATTGTAAAATTGTTAATAACTCTAACTACTGTTTCACTTGTGTCTTTTTTTTCACTTGGGTTTTTTTTTTTTACAAATGCTAATAAATCAGCAGCTTTTTAACAACTGCTTCTATGAATTTTTTCCCTCTTTTCCCTTCTAATTAGTGCCACAGTATATTTAGCTCTCCAGGACCATTCCTAGTTAAATATTAATTCCTTTCCAGGAATGTATCAGGTGGATAAGAGAACATTACATTACCACGTATATAGGACATTGGTGATTTATATTTGCTGGTCAACAACAGTGTATAAACAACAGAGAAACAGTTTGACTTTATTTGACTTGTTCCGGTATGTCATGGTGGTGTGCCAAAATACACACGTGATGCAGACTCCACGTAACCCTAATTATGTGTTTCTCTGCAGGTCTGCTGGGACCCACGCTGAGGGCTGAGGAGGGCGAGACCATTGTCGTCACTTTCAGAAACATGGCCACCGGACCGCACAGCATGCACCCACACGGGGTCGCTTACGGGAAACAGTCAGAGGGTGGGTGCCTGTAAACGCAGCTGCGGATGAGTCTGACAGATGTGGCAAACCCAAAGACACCAGTAACATTCTCCCATACAGGCTGTCTGTCAGGGTCACTGCGGGGGCTCATGATGTTACACAAGATTGACCAACACAATAAACAACCTTGTTTGTCTTTTTCTAAAATATTAACCAGGACAGGCCGATTATCAAAGTAGACGGTACTGAAGTCCAACAGGAAGCACTGCTAAGCCTTAGGAAATCACTGTCTGAGTCCAGGAGAGAGAAATAACAGGACATCAGCACCAGTATGGATGGAGGAAATTAACACTAAGTGCCTCTTCATTTGGTCTTAATTCAAAAGTCAGAGTGCAGAGGAATTCAAAATTGATGACTAGCTTGCAGCAAACTCTTCATCTAAGTGGAATTCATCTCACAAATTTTGTTGGGAAAGTCAATAACCTCCTCAGACCCCTGCTCGGCAATGGGATTTCATTGATCTGACCGTTCCAATATGATTAAACCTCTCTGTGCATCCATAATGAAAGGTCTAACTCAGACTGATTTCTTTCTGCAGGAGCTAACTACTTTGACAACACATCCCAGAAAGAGAAAGAGGATGACGTCGTGCAGCCAAACAGCCAGCACGTTTACTACTGGGAGGTGACGTCAGATGTTTCTCCGCAGCTAAATGACCCCACCTGTCTCACCTACACCTACATCTCCCACAAGAATGTTGTGGAGGACTACAACGCAGGCCTCATTGGTGCTTTACTCATCTGCAAGCCCGGTAAGCAGTGGAACGTGGCTGTGTTTCAAATCACAAAATATCAGTCGTCACAGCATTTACATGAATTGTTTTTTTTTTTATCTCTGTCCTCTCTCTGCAGGCAGTCTGGATGAGACGGGGCAGCAGGTCAGCTTCCACCATGAGTTCGTCTTCCTCTTTGGGGTCTTCGATGAGACAGAGAGCAAGTACAAACCAAACGGCCACGCCAACCACGTCAAATACACCATCAACGGATACACAATGGGATCACTGCCTGGTGAGTCTGTCCAGTCATTCTGTTATTCATTGAGTCACAGAGTCAGTCGGTCGTTCAGGTATCCCTGGATATATTTTAAAACATGATATGCAGGTGACACATCAGGACGCCTCAGACTGAATTCTAGTTAATAGATGAATGTCTGCTCTGAGTCAGTGCAGAGTTTATTAACCTTATGTAGTCATGACAACAGTGTTGATGCTTCACGCTGCTATTGGTTACACTGACTGCAAAGACACTGATGACTTAAAGCCAGGTCTGTCCTTTTGTTACATAAGTATAAGGCTGGAGGACATGACTTTTCAAGCAATGGTAAAACTACCTGTCACAATCACTCAAATTCAGATATCTTGTTTTCTCTGACCAAAAGATATCCAGTTCACTTTTACTGAGGACAAAGAGAAGCAGTAGATTTTCACACTTGAGAAGCTACAAACATCAAACTTAAAGGGGACCTATTCTTCTCATTTCAGGTTCAGATTTGTATTTTGGGTCTCTACTAGAACAAGTTTACATGTTTCAGTGGTCAAAAAGCACTTTATTTCCCTCATACTCTCTGTGCTGGAACACTTCTTTCACCCTCCGTTTAAATCGCTCCATTTTAGTGCCTGTCTCCTTAAAGGCCCTGACACTCCAAGCTGACGGTCGGCCGTCGACCAAAGTCGGGCCATCGGTGAGTGTCTGTCGCCCTAGTTTTTGCGGTGTGTCCCGCACCGTCGGCACTTCGGCGGCTTTTTGGCCAATTGAGCATGTTGAATTGGCAGCAGAGCTTGTCGGTGAGAGAGATCACTCTGATTGGCTGTTCAGGTTTTATTTCCTCGCCCCTGTAGCAAGTGAATCTGCCTGTAGTGAAACCGGGGCTAACCGGTGCTTGCTCCTCAGGCTCCACTTCACTCAGCTGCCCCACAGACCCGCTGCTGCTTCCCACTTTAACCTGAATAACAAACCGGAGCTAGCTGGGAGGCTAGAGGAGCATTAGCCGCAGCATGACCAGAGGGGAAGCACAGCCAGTTAGCCTCCGCTAGTCTCTGAGCTAGCCCCGGCTCTCCGTTTGGATCCAACCGGAGCACCGAGCCCTGGTTTGTTATTCAGGTTAAAGTGTGAAGAAGCAGCGGGTTTATCGGGCAGCTGAGTGAAGTGGAGCCTGAGGAGGAAACACCGGGACCGTCTGGATGTCATAGTCCGTGGAGGTGCTGCGGTGCTCGGCTGCACAGATAGGTGATTGATGTCGGTTTGGTGTGTCTGCACCTTAAGACCCCCTCCTTTCTGTAACTCAGTGTCTCTTCGCAAAAGTGCAGCAGGGATGACATTAATTTGTAGGCCAGCCCGGAAGTTAACATCGACCTGGTTCCCTCCACGAAAAGTCAACAAGATTTTTACCCTGGATTTTGGATTATTGCAGAATATAAGCTCTGTGGCAAACAAAAGCTAATGACACATATAACCTTCACAATAAACAAATTAAACTACAGTTGCGCGACTTTAACGTCACCATCACAATGAGTCTTTGGACTGTGGGAGGAAGCTGGAGCACCTGGAGGAAGCCCACGCTGACACAAGGAGAACATGCAAACTCTGCACAGAAGGGCTCCCCGACCCTGGGTTCGAACCCTCCTCTCCTGATTTGAGCCAGGAGCCCTCTTGCTGTGAGGCGACAATCCTAACCACTGAACCACCGTGTCACCTGCATTCATTCATTCATTCATTCATTTTTCGTAACAGCTTTTCTTGCTGGAAACAGAGTATTCAGAGGGGTTGGATGTTTTTTACTTAAAGAGATCACTTTTACTTAAAACTCTGGTCACGTTTAATTTGAACATCTGACATTTAATATTATACATATGACAGACAATGAGAAAAAGCATAATGGCTCCCCTTTAAACTGTCTACAAATACACTTTAAAATAGGGCTACAGTACAATTAGCAGTAGTAGTAAAACCTCTCATTACAGTTTCATGAAGTCCAAGATGACGTCCTCAGAAACAGAGTTTTATTAATTATGTATTACGTCACTGTTATAACTACTGTTACTGACACGAATGATCTGAATACCTCTGTCACCACTGCTCATACTGAAGGTACAGGTTTATGGTGGTGGTGTTAAACGTCATGGTGTACAGTGTGTGGTGCACAGTCAGTGAAAAGACATTCACCAGATGTTCTTCATAAACAACACGGTTCAAAGATAAACACACAGAGTGACCAACAGTCTTCTCCTTCCTGTCCAGATGTCAGCATGTGTGCCTACGCCCCCGTGAGCCTGCACCTGGTGGGTATGAGCTCAGAGGCGGAGGTGTTCACAGTGCACATGAACGGCCAGGTTCTACAGCAGAATGGCCACAAAATGTCATCAGTGGGTCTGATCAGCGGCTCCACCGCCACTGCCAGCATGGTGGCGCTCCACACGGGCCGCTGGCTGCTCTCCTCACACACCAACAAGCACATGGAGGGTATGTGTTTTTTCTACTCGTGGAATAAACTGATCCATGCGGAAGCATATTGCATTCGCTTGACAAATAAAAAAAAAAAATCTGTTTTATTGAGTAATGTTTTCTGTTTTTCGGAGTATTTTTTTTAAATTATTTTTTTCGTGGTAATATTTTTTCCGTTTTTCGTGGTAATTTTTTTTTCTGTTTTTCATGGTAATTTTTTTCTGTTTTTCATGGTAATATTTTTTCTGTTTTTCGTGGTAATTTTTTTTTTCTGTTTTTCGTGGTAGTATTTTTTTCTGTTTTTCGTGGTAATTTTTTTTTCTGTTTTTCGTGGTAATAGTTTTTCATGGTAATTTTGTTTCTGTTTTTCGTGGAAATGTTTTTTTTTTTTGTTTTTCGGGGTAATTTTTTCTGAGTTAAGAGAGCAATAGAACAACAGACACTTTCATTCCTTACTTGAGAGCTCGATATAATGGAAGCAAACATGACCCGCTTGTTTAGTTTAATCCAGTTTTACTTTGTTTTGAGATTGAGGGTTTTCTCTTAACTCAGAAAAAAATACTCAGAAAAACTGAAAAAATTACCCCGACAAACAAAAAACTGATCCATGCGGAAGCATATTGCATTCACTTGACAAATAAATAATGAAATCTGTTTTATTGAGTAATTTTTTCTGTTTTTTGGAGTAATTTTTTTATTTTTTTTTTTTTTTTTGTGGTAATATTTTTTCTGTTTTTCGTGGTATTTTTTTCTGTTTTTCATGGTAATATTTTTCCTGTTTTTCGTGGTAATTTTTTTTTCTGTTTTTTGTGGTAGTATTTTTTCTGTTTTTCATGGTAATAGTTTTCCGTGGTAATTTTGGTTCTGTTTTTTGTGGAATTTTTTGTTTTTGTTTTTCGTGGTAATTTTGTTTCTGTTTTTCGTGGAATTTTTTGTTTTTGTTTATTGGGGTAATTTTTTTCTGAGTTAAGAGAGCAATAGAACAACAGGCACTTTCAAGTAAGTCTGCTCTCAAGTAAGGAATGAAAGTGTCTTAACTCAGAAAAAAATTACCCGAAAAACAAAAAAAAATAACCCCAAAAAACAGAAACATAATTACCACGAAAAACTGTTACCACGAAAAACAGAAAAAAAATTGCCATGGAAAACAGAAAAAAAAATTACCACGAAAAACAGAAAAAATACTACCACGAAAAACAGGAAAAAAAAATACCATGAAAAACAGAAAAAATTGCTCAGTAAAACAGATTTTTTTTTTAATTTGTCAAGCGAATGCAATATGCTTCTGTAGATCCAACATCCACCATGAATACATACATTTTACCAGTGTAACTACATTTACAAGTGTGTTTCTGCCATTGCAGCTGGCATGCACAGTTTCGTGGACGTGAAAAAGTGTGATGGCTTCACAGCACCACGGCGAAGGATGACCATTGAGCAGAAACGATACAGCAGGGAGTGGACGTACTACATAGCTGCTGAGGAAATTGTCTGGGACTATGCACCTAATATGCCAGAACACGTTGACCAGTAAGCAGCATTTACAGACACGTCAGAGCATTTCATATGTTTCAGAGCATTTTTAAAAGTGTACATGCAAACTAATGAAACATCCCCCTGCAGCAAATATAACATTTGTATTTATGATTTATTTAAAGGGAAACTTTGATATTTTTCAACCTGGATCCTATGTTTCCATATTTTTTTGTCTAAGTGACTACTTGGGACAGCATTTTTTAAAACTGGTCCAGTATTGGGAGAGAGCTCTGCAGCTAGCTGCTGCGAAACCAGCTGCCATGTTACCACTCAGGGCATTTGTGCACCATCAATATATGTCCACTACAAGTGTTTGTTTTTGTCACAGACAGGCTCACAGTGTGTTCACACCCGACGCGAGTAAAATATTCGCCTCGCTCTACTCCGCGAGTTTGACCACTGGAATATTTGTTTTTACTCGCGACATTCACGCGAGTCATTTGCGCAAGTAACAGTGTGTTCACACCGCTAGTAAATCAGACAAGTATGCTGGCCGGCTGGTTAAACAAAAAGGATCTTACTCTTAAACAAAAAGCTCTATCTCTGTAGGGACCCTTCCCATAATGTTGTCAGACACTTAAAACAATCTGAGCCTGTCAGTGGAAAAAACAAGCACTTATAGTAGATGTAAATTCATGGTGCACAAAATCCCTGTGTGGTTACATTTCAGTCTGTTTACCAGAGGCCGGCTGCAGCGGTCTCCTCTATACTGGACCAGTTTCAAACACAGTTTTTCCCATTAATCACTTAGACACAAAAAATTAGGTCCAGTTTAAAAAATACTGAAGTTACCCTTTAAGTGCTACTTTTGATTTGATACACATTGCTCTGTTGTCAAAGGGAGACATAATACTGCTGCTGATTAACATGTCTCTACCAATTAAACCTGCCTCTCTTTTCACTTTTGCTTTAAGCTAAACATATTATTTCCCATCTTTCACTCTTTCACTTCCATCTTTTCCATCTTCTGACTCTATTTGATCTTGAGAAACAGTCTTACACTGATTAAACACACTGGTGCCACACAGTTTGAAATGCAGTGCAGTCAAAATTAAATAAAATGTTATCTCTTTGTGCAGGGACTTTAAGTTGCAGTACCTGACACAGTCACCAACACGCATAGGCACAAGGTACAAGAAGGCCGTGTACACGATGTACACAGACGAGTCATTCACTCAAAGGTTGGAGTCAAAGCAGAGGAAAAATGAGCTGGGGATCTTGGGCCCAGTGATCAGAGCGCAGATCAGAGATGTCATCAAGGTGAGATCATATTCCATTCAATTAAATTTGTAGCACCCTACCAGCAGGATTATATTTCATAGTTCTTTACATAACACAAGATCAGAGAAATCAGAATTTAAGTTTGTGTTCATGCTAGCTGTAATAACTGTGTCCTAGAACTGGGGAATTATGTATGAAAATGGCTGCAGTTCATATTTAAACACTATCCAATTAAAGGTATACTATGCAGGATTTACCTACAGACTCAGACAGAAGTAATCCCTCTCAGTCATTTCTTACAACACAATGAAAGTGTGTGTTGGTGTATTTATCTGCGGAGTCTGCCCTCTGCCTGGACTTTATTTTTTATGTTGCTGTTAGGACTTTTTAGACACAGCTCTCAGGGTGAGGTTGGGATTAAAAGGTAGCAAATAGGTGCACACATCCAAGAGGAAGCTACAATAATCACAGACACAGCACTGAAAAAAAACCATAGTGAGGCAAAAAACCAAGCAGACAAAACTCAAGAATGAACCAGGCATTGGCTTTCACTTTACAGCTGGTAACGCTGTTTACAAACAGTAACCAACATTTCCTGCACAGTATACCCTTAATAAAGCTGAAAGTCTGCACTTACTGTCAATCAGTGACTGTGAGCACACAGAGCGAAAAGACAAATCATGTGTCACTCTCATAGTTTCATTCTAGACTTCAGGTCATCAGGGATAATATTAATCATTGTCTACCAGAGGTGTGGAATTGAGTCACATGACCTGGACTTGAGTCATACTCGAGTCACAAATTTTAATCACTTAGGATTCGACTTCACAAAATCAAATCAAATCAATTTTGACTTGAATATACTTGATACCTTCCACCAAACCCAAAGATTAAAAAGTACGATATTTAAAAAGTGTGACATGAATCAATTATTTTTTTTTGTATTTCCTGAGCTGAATCTACTCATGTTAACTTAAATAATTTTATTTCATTTAAACATTTAATGACATACAATATTACTTTTAAGAAAAAAAAAAATCTTACAGAAAATTCGGGAAGAGAAAGTTATCAATATTTTTCCAATATGACATGAGTTTACAACAAAACAGGACAGAAACACACAAAATTCATTCGGTCATGATAAACTACTGGTTAACCCTATGAGCCCTAGGTGTTTTTGGGGTATTTTTACTACCTTTAGTTTTAAGCTCATATCACAGTCATTATAAAGGCTACATACACATGCTATAACTTGTTTTTTTCAGGACAATCTGGGCTAACCAGATTTGCCATCATTCCATGTCCTTCTATGTGCCTGTATTTTATATTAATTTTTATATCAATGAAAAAAACAAATCTGTGTGACTAAATTCTTACATTTTTACATGTATCTCACCATAGCAAGTTGGAAGTAGACATATTCTGCCATATATGAAGAAGGGAGACTCTCTGGAATCTGGCAATATAAGAACCATGATGGTGGGACATTCAGTCACTTCACAGTTGTCTAAAACATGTGGTTTGTGCCAGGCGGACATGATTGCCAGTATTTTTTCATTATTGCAAGAAATTCCATTGACTCATTCACAAGTCAAAAATGTGTTTTATCTGAAAGAAACATGCAATATTTACATCTAAGATCAAAGAAAAATAGTCAACCAAGTGCAATGATGTCCTCCAAGATAATATTTGTTTTTCAGTTTCAGTTATATATTGGGGGGACATTTTGGGCATTGGTGGGGGGGCACGTGTCCCCCTCAATGTATATGGTGACTACGGCCCTGTCAGCATGCATAATTAGACTACCGTTGTCTGGGTGCGCAAAGGTGAAGTGGCTGGTCTTGTCATATAAAGTTTGACGAGTGTCAACTGGACAATATGGAGATATTTGCATTGTGAAAGCTGGACTACAAATGTGGATAGACAGGGAGAAACACACGCAAGCCTAAGACGTGGTAAGATACGATATTCCTCACTATATGAAGTGACTGATAACAAGATCTGTATAATGGGTTGTAAAGAAATTCGTCAGGACAATGAATCTGGATTTATAGCATGATGGGATGACAGCACAATGATGTGTGTGGTCCTGTGCTTTCATGTGATATGCGTGGCATTTCTGTGCGACCCTGCGTTCGTGAGTAATCCATCCAAGAGTAATGCGTGTGCAAAGCTGTATGAAAGCTCTGCTATACATAATTTTAGTGAAACTTTATCCATTTTTTTCACTGTGAAAATATTGGACTACCGACAAGTGCTTGGCCTTGTCGGAAAGCTACTATTCTGTTTTTTCACGTGATATGCATGGCTCCTCGCTATGACGCATGCAGAGAAAATCAATAGAGAAGAACAGGTGTGAATTTGGACACACTATGCGTCGTTTGGGCCCATAGGGTTAATAGCGCTATATGCTATGAAAGTGTGATGTCAGCAGAACTTCTTTTATTATTAAGTTCAATTTAGCTTGTTTTAACAAGTAAATGCTAATTTAGAAAAGCATTCATTATATTTGTGGATTTATTTTATTACTTAGTTATTAAAATCAACCCGGTCTTACTCCAAAGTTGCTTGGGCAGTGACTTGTTCCGGCATGATACGCTGCTGGTCGCATTATTATATATGTGAGTAGGATGGTCGGAAGGAGTGGTGGATGGATCCAACAAACACCGACTTTCACCCAAGAGGCCACTGTTTACTCCCCGAAAGACTGTAAAGCCAAACCCTGTTCTTTTTTCTAAACACAACTAAGTTTGTGTTTGCAAACGTAACCACATGCGTTTGGTGTTGAAGGAAAAAAAAACGTCAATTCACGGTGTTTTACCAACGTAGTGCTTTTATTTTGAAAACGACTGTATGCAAACTGTACATTTCCTGTGAAAACAGAAGTGTATTATGACAACAGACAATGCATGAAACAGGCTAAAGTTAAAAAGGCGTCCCAGAACATCAACAACCAACACACCCAGGGTACCTTGGACATCATATGTGGACGTGGAAAGTCCATGACTTGGGTGCAAAGACCTTTGACTTCCTTGTGACTTGAAAGACATTAGCCCTTTTTAAACAGGAGTTGTGCAAATTTGCAGGAAAGCCCAATCAGTCTTTTTTCAGCATTGGCAGTATAAAAACAAAATCAGGGAGTGCAGCAAAATGCCGCCTACCTACTTTTGTTTATACAGAATGCACCTTTTTCGGGGCAATGGGGGGCGTGAGCAAGTAACAAAACGTGTAGCTCAGCGTGTGACATAAACAGTGACGTGGGAGGGAAGCTGCAGCTGGTCAGTCCTTCGGTGATTCTCTAGTAAGTCGGCCCGTTCTTCACCGTCCCCGTCATCTGACGGTTAATGGCCTCTTCGTTTGCGAGGACAAGGAGGGCGCACAATTCCTTGTCTCCCCAGTTGCTCATCTTTACAGTGTCTGTCAGGTTTGTGTTTCCCTCTTGCTACTAGCTGCTCGCTAATTCCTGCTATCAGCTGTTTCCTGTTAGTCCACCGCCAGTGGGTCCCAATGCGGCGTCATCAACAGCTCCTCCCACAAGTCATCAACAGTCCCTCCCGTGGCGGAAGGCCACCTCGGTCTGTTTAAACTAAAAGGGTTCCACCAATATGTCTACCCTACGAGGCAGAAAATTGGGCACCTAGGATCAACTCGCCAACCGGCTCTGTGTGTCTAAACGCTCGCAGCTTGCAGGCAAAACAGCCCAACATTCAACAAAAATCTGGCAGTGTAAACGGGGCTAATGACTTGATCTCACCTCTGTTGTCTACTGTCATCAAACCTCTTCCTGTCCTGTTACAGATTGTTTTTAAGAACAAGGCCTCCAGGCCCTACAGCATCTATCCACATGGACTGACCATAGAGAAGTCAGATGAGGGAGTCAACTACCCAGCAGGAGGTACTAAATCTCTCCTCACAGTAAAACAGATGGATTTCTGTGGTGGTATGATGTACCCACTCTGGTTTCACCATATAAAAAGATTACAGTCAAACTGATGAGGTAAATCTTTATGTGTTTGCCAGGCAACCAATCTCATGGTGTTCAGCCAGGTGAGACACACACCTACATATGGAAAGTGGTCGACGAGGATGAGCCTTTTGAAGCAGATTCTCGATGTCTGACACGACTGTACCACAGCGCAGTGGACACACCGCGGGACATCGCCTCAGGACTGATAGGACCAATCCTCATCTGCAAGAGTCGCTCCCTCAATATCAGGGGTGTGCAGGTAAAGACACTCATTCATTTTTAGGCATGCTTGCATATGTATAACAAATGTACATATTCCTACTCCATCCATTGAGAAATAAACTGTTAAAATTAAAAGTCGTAAATGAAACAATCAAAAATATTCTTCTGGTTTCTCTCCACAGCTGAAAGCAGACAAGGAGCAGCACGCCATGTTGGCTGTATTTGATGAGAACAAGAGTTGGTACCTGGATGACAACATTCGCCAATATTGCGATCGAAGCAAAGTCAACAAGGCAGACCCCAACTTTTATAAATCCAATGTCATGCACAGTACGTTTTTGCTATAATCAGACTGAAACTAATGAAAGCTTATTCTTTAAAAGATATGACATATTCACTAAAATTCATTAATATTCATATAAATCTCCTTACAGCAATTAACGGTTATGTGTTTGAGAGCGGACCGCTCTTGGGCTTCTGCAATGGTGAGGTGGCAACATGGCACGTGTCCAGCGTAGGAGCACCAGACTTCATCCAGACAGCTACTTTCTACGGCCATCCGTTTGAGCTGAATGGACGAACGGAGGACTTTCTCAGCCTCTACCCTATGACTGGAGAGACAATCACTATGAACATGGACAACATCGGTCAGTCAGGGCTTACAATGCCTCTTTTAATGTCAAATTATATATCATGTAGGGAAACCTTTAACTTGAGAAAATACTCTGACAACAGAAAGTCAGTATGGTACCATCTGAAATGTCTGTGCATGAAATGCTGCAGCTTTGTATTTTAATGGATGATTTTTTTGTATCCCTCTCAAACCAGGTGTCTGGCTCATGGCTACTCTGAATTCCCATGAGACAACCAAGGGAATGCGTGTAAAGTTTCAGGATGTTGAGTGCTTTCGCGACCGCCAGTATGAGTACAACGACTATGACGATAATGAAGAATTCACAGAATTTACTTTGTGGAAACCTCTCAGCTTGGATGAAATCAAAAAGGAAGAGGAGAAGAAAATACCTGAGAAAAAAAAGCCAGTGGAGCCAGATTATTACACGGAAATGTTTGCAGATGAATTAGGTCTCAGGTCTCTGAAGAACCAATCTACTATATCAGATGTGGAGCTGCTTGACCTCTCCATCCTCGAATATGATACTATCGATGTGCCTGAAGGAGATACTCATGTAACCGTTAATTTCACTGAGACAAGGAATAAAAACAAAACATCTACTCCAAAACCAAATGCTCTAAATGACACATTATTATCAAATGGGAAAGAAGAGGATGGACTAAACCTTACAGCAGTTAATTTGCTGAAGCAAAGCATGAGCGAGAATACAATACATTTGCAGAACAGTAGTGCGCCATCAACTTCTGACAATTCTTCTGTGCATAAAACAGAAAACACAACAGCTCACAATGCTACGTTGTTATCAGATCTAATGAACACAACCCTGACTGACGCCAACAAGACTTCTGTGGGTGGGATCTTGGTGGAGGACTCCGAGGAGACAATCACCAGAGGGGACGTGTTTTCTTACTCTACGCCTTTGTCCAATTCCAGCACCAACAATCTCCACAGTGCACCAGAGGGCAACACCACAAAACAGGAAGATAAGAATAACACTGCAGCTGACATGTCAGCAGATGGAACGCACCATTCTTTGTCTATTCCAGCGGCTGATGTTGAAGAGGTCGACATCAACAGTCTTATCAGAAGCATCTTGAACATCTTCGAGCTGAGGTTGGAGAGCACAGATGACAAAATCAGTGACAAGGACTCGCTGACCACCACAACAGAGCCAGACAATGAGCTTCAAATGAACTCCTCTGACATTATCCCCACCAATTCCAGCCTTGAAAATGTAACACACGATTTACTCCAAAATGGGTCCTTACAGAATGTCACGGTGGATATGTCCAAATCAAATTCATCAGGGAAGATTAGTTTAGAAAGTAAAAAGAATGCCTCAAATCTTCTTGGTGAGTTGAGCCATGCATCTACTGCAACAAGTGGCAATGACTCCCTGATCACCACTGCAGAGCCAGAGAATGACCTCCAGCATTCCAGCATTGAAAATGTAACACACAAGTTGCACCAAACTGGGCCTTTACAGAATATATCGACATTAAATTCATCAGCAGAGATTATTTCAGAGAAGAAGAATGCCTCTAATCTTCTTGGTGAGTTCAACCACACATCGTCTGCAAAAAGCTTCTCCAATGACACTTCTGAGGAGCCAACAGCGCCAGACAGCATTGAAGAAGAAGTGCATATCTACCTCACAGAAAACAGTACGCAGGTGATTAAAACCACCTCCATCAAAACGCAGGGCCACAACTGGACTTATGATGGAACTCACCAACTGGAACCCGGGGATATTCCTGACTACATGATGAAATATCTCGGAAAAGAAACCCCCAAAACGACGCCAACTCCAAAAAAGAAGGTCAGGAGGGTGAACCTCCGACATTGGCCGCAGAAGGGTCAGGGCATGAAAACAAAGAGGAGGAAGGAGTACAAGCCTCAAGCCAGGAGTGGCTTACCGTTCTCTCCTCGTGGGTTCCATCCAGGCATGACCCCGCGAGGGTCACGACCCCTTGCACTGCAGCCTGTCTCTGATGAAGCGGAGCTCATTAACATGCCCGTGGTCATTGGTGTGCCCCGGCCTGATTTCAGTGACTACGAGCTGTACATTCCTGGGGACGAACCACATCATCTAGAGCCAGTTACCGAAGATTTGAATCGAGATGAATATGAATATGTGACCTATGTAGACCCCTACAGCAGTCATGAAGACATAAAGAATATCAACCTAGATGACACCACCAAATACTACTTAAAAAACTCAGGCCCGAATGTTCGGACTTATTTCATCGCTGCAGAGGAGGTTGAGTGGGACTACAGTGGCTACGGACAGAGGTAAGCTCAGAGATATGAAGAGCTCACACAACATTTGAAAAGACATGATTGTTACGATTTTTTGGAGAATTGTACAGCAGGTACACATTGGTACACAAAGCTGAAATATGTCCTGTTCTCACCACAGGAGGCAAGACAAGTCGCAGCAGAACAGCCGAGAAACTAAGTTCACTAAGGTGGTTTTCCGAGGATACTTGGACAGCAGCTTCAGCACACCTGACATCCGTGGAGAGATGGACGAGCATCTAGGCATCCTGGGACCTGTCATTAAGGCGGAGGTCGGACAAAGCATCATGGTAAGACTGTCAGCTTCTGATTCTTCTGGGATCTCACATTTTCTTATTTTATTTCCTGTGTTAAGCTTCCCTTTCATCACTACCTCTGCCCAGGAGGTTTTGTTTTGGTTCAGTTTGTTTCTTTGTCAACAAGACTTTGTAAAATCTACTGGCACCACTTTCGTGAAACTTGGCGAAAGGGTGTAGCGTTAGCCAAAAAAGAACCCTTGAAATTTTGGACCAGATTCAACTTTTAGATTTAGATTTAATATTTAGATTTGGCATTTAACATTTATATTTAATTTGTCAATTTGTATGTAATATATTGTCTTTCATGAAATTTATGAAATGTCAGGAAAACGAGCTAAATTTCAGGAAAGTGAGCTAAATATAATCAAAATATATCAGCTAGAAAATTGTAACCTAATTTTTAAATCAGGCGCCCTACGAGGGACGAGCTGTTTCACCGTATTTACAGTCTTTGTGCTAAACTAACATAACTGTCCAAAGTTTTCATCAAACTTTTTGCAAGAAAATTAATAAGAGTATTTTCCAAAATATTAAACTATTCCTTTACAGCCATGATTACCCAACCACAGGATGTGTCTGTTTGTCTTGCAGGTGGTGTTCAGGAACAACGCCAAGCGTCCTTACTCTTTACATCCAAACGGAGTTTCCTACACGAAGAACACAGAGGGTCTGTCCTACGAGGATGGCTCCAAGTACTGGCATAAATATGACAATGAGGTTAAGCCCAACACCACCTTCGCATATATGTGGAAGACCAGTTCTATGGTTGGGCCATCGCCAGGAGAGTCTCACTGTCGGACCTGGGCCTACTATTCAGGCGTTAATCCTGTGAGTAATCTGAACTTTGCGGACAATTATTGAATAAATGCTATTTACAAATAGAAATTAAAGAAACATTATGCAAATTTTAGTTGATTGTTGAGTCTCAGAGTTTTAGACCTGGTATTGACACATGATACGTGATCCAAACACAAGTGAACAGTGGAGACACGCCTCTGTTCACACCTGTGTCTATCATGTGTCTCCAGCTGACCGTGTGTGTTCAGATTTCATTACTGCCCCACGCACATGTTATTAGCTGGCTTTTAAAAGAAACCACAGAGTCAGCGGATCGTGAGGGAGCAGGCAGGGCATTCCAAGATGTAGGTGCTACGGTCGCAAAAGCTAAATCACCTCGTGTCTTAAGATGAGTGCAAGGGACAGACAACAAATGTAGTGTAGTCTGACCGTGTAATGCTCTGTAAGCAAGGATGAGAATTTTAAACTGGATCCTGAACCCAACAGGGAGACAGTGAGGGGATTTTAGTGTAGGCACTAGTGGACCATTTCTATTGCAGAGTTCAAAGGGTCAAAACCACTGTGTATAGAGTTGGAGTTTCTGACTGTGGCACCCCCTAGTGGCAGCATAAAAACATTCAACAGGCTGAAAGTAACTCACACTGCACCGATTTTCAACAGGACTGTGTAATTTTTCTACAAACACAAACTCACACACAGATGTGTTTGGGTTGAGCACGGTGGAGTGTATTCACTTTAGGGTATGTACTGTCTCTTAGGAGAAGGATATCCACACTGGATTGATTGGGCCTTTGCTGGTGTGTCGAGAAGGAACCCTGACCAAGAAGTTACCAGACATGAGGGAGTTCACGCTGCTTTTCATGACCTTCGATGAGTCGCAGAGCTGGTACTACGAGGACAACCGTGAGAAGATACAGAGGAGAAGCCGAAGGAGATTTATGGACCCCGACTTCAAGGACAACCTCAAGTTCCACTGTAATGCATTATACACTTTCAGCTAGCCTGGTTTAACTGATCCTCCTCCCCAAATCTTTTGATCATAAGATATAACATGCAAATTTAAACACATTTAGTATATAAATCCACTGTTAATAATCTATTACTGTGTCAAAAAGTCCACAGTATCTGTAGGTAGAATTCACTGAGTTGCATTAACTTTTTTCCGTGCATTCAAGAGTTATCAGTTACACAACAGAAAAACAAAGTCACCTGACCAAACATCATCAAAATGTCTTCTTGTCTGTTTTTTTCTTCAGCCATCAATGGCATCATATACAACCTGAAGGGCCTGAGGATGTACACCAACCAGCTGGTATGCTGGCACCTGATCAACATGGGCTCTCCCAAAGACTTTCAGAGTATCCACTTCCACGGACAGACGTTCCTCCACAAGAAGCACACCAGCTACAGACAGGCCGTTTATCCTCTGCTGCCAGGTGAGCAACATACTGTCTGTTTCTTAAAGGGACAGTTCACCCTTGAAGCCCCTCTATGCAGAGTTTGCATGTTCTCCCTGTGTCAGCATGGGTTCTAGGTGCTCCAGCTTCCTCCCACAGTCCAAAGACATGCAGGTTAACTGGTGACTCTAAATTGTCCGTAGGTGTGAATGTGAGTGTGAATGACTGTCTGTCTCTATGTGTCAGCCCTGTGATAGTCTGGTGACCTGTCCAGGGTGAACCCTGCCTCTCGCCCAATGTCATCCAGGATAGACTCCAGCCCAAGTGGTTACAGAAAATGAATGACTGAATGTATTTGGTGTCGACAGCGTAGCAGAGACAAGATGTTTCAACTAAATCACTGAATCAAACTGTGTTTGCAGGAAGCTTTGCTACTCTGGAGATGAATTCATCCAAACCTGGCCTTTGGCAGCTGGAGACAGAAATTGGTTTGAACCAACAGAAGGGCATGCAGACCCTGTTCCTGGTTCTAGATAACGGTACAAACACCTACACAACCCTGCAGCATTAAGACATACTGTCATGTTGTGTTTTCATATTGAGCTTTTGCTTTTGTCTCCTTCAAGACTGCTACCGTCCACTGGGTTTAGAATCAAGCAGCGTGAAAGACAACCAGATCACAGCAATCAACACGAGAGGTAGCCATGCCTCCTTCTGTCTGCACCCATCTGTTTTACCAAATGCACCGTGTACCGCAGTAAAGTTCTGTGTCACTGGAGGAATGACAATATTTTAATCTTTGTAGGATACTGGGAGCCATTTCTGGCCAGACTGAACAATCAGGGTAAATACAACGCATGGAGCACAGAGCAGAACCACAGCTGGATTCAGGTATGGTGTTATAAGTGTGAATGTGTGTTTGAGTTTAACTATATTTGCATGTGTGCGCTTGCTTTCCACGTGACAACAATCTGCAACCTGTGGACCTCCCCCTGTACAGGTGGACTTCCAGCGGCCAGTTGTGATCAGCCAGGTGGCCACGCAGGGAGCCAAGCAGATGTTCTACTCCCAGTACACGACGAAGTACATGATCTCCTACAGCAACGACCGCAGGAAGTGGATCTTCTACAAGGGCGACAGCAGGGACCTCAGGAAGGTGGGAGTTTGACCACTTTGGATCAATGCAGCTACAAACTAAGTGAGACGTGTGCGATTGCTTATTTTTCTTCTCGCTGTCTCTTTCACCAGATATTCACTGGGAACCAGAACGCCTATGATCCAAAAACAAACACCTTCCTTCCTCCTATGGTTGGACGGTTCATTAGGCTCCACCCCATCGAATGGTACAACTCGGCTACAGTGCGCATGGAGTTCTACGGCTGTGAGCTCGACGGTAAGATGTTACTGTATTAGTTTTTCATTTCATTAACCTTTATTTAAACAGGAAGTCCACAAGAGTTCACAAAATATGCACAATACATTTTTTGGTGCGGTTACATAGGTTAGGTTTAGAAAAATAAAGTTACGTAGTTTAGGTTCAGAAAAATAAAGTTACGTAGGTTAGGTTTAGAAAAATAAAGCTATACTGTATATGTTAGGTTTAGGGAAAAGAATAATGGCTGGCCATTGTTACATTACATACTTAACATAAGGTTCTGTACTTGGTGTAACATGTTTGCTCGACCCATTCACCTCTATCTCCTCACGCAGACTTTCACTCTTAATACAACTTCCTTCTTTACTCCCGTCAGCACATTGGTAATATGATCGCAAGCTTTAAGATAACGTGGGTTACATATGACTACTGGTGCATTAGTTTTGATAGGTTTGAGCAACATTTAGATTGATAGATTGAGAGTTGGTCAATTTGCAAATCTGACCAAAGGTGGCATTGTGACAGTATTTTGTATATTTTATGATAACTACAAATACATTAGTTACGACATGACACCTAAATGCATGTGCACATGCACTACATGCTCCAGTATTGTCATAGAGTTTGGGTTCCTGTAAACGTGACATTTCTTACCTGCTGCCTCAGGCTGCTCGGTGCCTCTGGGGATGGAGAGCAGACTGATAGAAGACCGTCACATCACAGCGAGCTCCACAGCCTCCAGCTGGTACTCTGGACCCTGGAGGGCCTCCCTTGCACGTCTCAACACACAGGGCACCATCAATGCATGGCAGGCTAAGGTAAAATCCTATTAGTGACATGACCGGTCTAAATTAAAGGGATAGGTCTGATTCTTAGAAGTGGGGGTGTAGGAGGCACGTATCCATAATCAGTGAATTACATACAGTAGATGTCAGTCAGCACGCCCCCAGTTTGGAGAAGCAGGCAGGAGTGCCAACATGAAACTCTAGCAGTGGACTCTGCTGGCAACACTTTTTAGCCACTTTTAAAAAGTTCTACCTTAAAAAATCAATATCAGTTTACGTGTACACTTTGTTGAGAGTATTTCTAATCACTTTACCTCTCTGTCAGACGGCCCCTTACAACAGGGAACCCGTTAACAGCTTCAGTTTCCAGTATCTCACTGAAAATATATCAAACAACCCCACACACAAAAATCCAGACTATCCCTCTAATGCATTTAAATTCATATTGAACATCAGGTAGAGCGTCTCAGGATCTGAGTGACCTGCAGTATACACACACCTGCTTCTCCAAAATGTGTGTGCATGCTAAATTACAAGGCAAACCTACCATCTCTCTCTGTGTCCTCTCCTCCACAGTATAGTGACATGCATCAGTGGCTTCAGGTGGAGCTGCCCCAAATAAAGAAGATCACAGGTATCATTACACAAGGAGCCAAGTCTCTGGGGACAGAGATGTATGTCATGTCCTACTCTCTGCAGTACAGCGACAACGGGATACACTGGACCCACTACACAGATGATGAGAACATCTCTTTCAAGGTGAGCTGAGGCAAAAAAAAAAAAAACTTTAGTAAAACATTTTGTAATTAACCAGCTCACAGGCGGCTGGAGTTTTCTTTCACGGTCACATAGACGTGATTCTAAATTCTCTTTCTCATCAAACGCAGACTTTTTTGGGAAATAAAGACAACAACGACCACATGAGGAACTACATCTACCCTCCGATTTTCTCCCGCTTCATCCGCATCCTCCCCAGAAGATGGAGGAACTCCATCACCATGAGAGTAGAGCTACTGGGCTGTGATTTTGAGTGATGATACACAAAGACACAAATCCATAGCAACTGATGTCAGGTCAGGTCAACCGTGCACATGCAGACTGAAACACTCAAAGTGTACCCCCAGACTAATGCACTTCAACTTCCACACATACGGTCATGTATGAAGGATACTACATATATAAAGTAACTAAATCACAGCCAACACATGCAGACATTTGTTGCTTAGGCTGTCTGTAAAGCTCATCCTATACAGTGTTTTATCATACAAATATATGGCCAGTTAGAATGAGTTAAAGGAGCAGTGTGTAAGATTTGAGGAGGTTTAGTGACATCTAGTGGTGAGGACTGCAAATTGCAACCAGCTGAAACTTCTCCTGGTCAGAATTCCTTCAGTGTTCAATGTTTAGGAGGTTTTTACCATGAGCTGAATTATCCACAGAGGTCTCTTCCTCGCCGAAATTAACGGACCAGGTGATTTAAACCGGTAAAAATAGTGAATAAAGTAGTTTCATGTTTAGATATCGGTGTTTTTCATACACTCTCGTCGACAGTGGCCGACACGATAACGCAATGAAACGTGATTTCAAAATGTCCCTATCCAGAGCCAGTGTTTGTGTTTGTTTTTTATGGACTACTGCAGAAACATAGCGGTGCAACATGGCGATCGCTGTAGAGAAGGATCCACTTGCCTAGTGCCTGCTTTGTGTCCTCATGTATTCACAAAGATTCTGAGAATCCTCTCGGAGAGCTCCTAACTTAGCCTTAAAATTTAAGGAGTCCTAGCTAAGGAGTGATTTTGGAAAGTTCTCAGAGCATCTCTGAGCAAGGAAGAGACAGAAACTTTGACTTTAGTGAGGAGGTGTGTTCGACCCTGTTGCTAGGTGTGATGTGTGCTTTTAACAGATCAATCAATCAATCAATTTTATTTATAAAGCCCAATATCACAAATCACAATTTGCCTCACAGGGCTTTACAGGATACGACATCCCTCTGTCCTTATGACCCTCGCAGCGGATAAGGAAAAACTCCCCCAAAAAAACCTTTAACGGGGAAAAAAAAACGGTAGAAATATCAGGAAGAGCAACTGAGGAGGGATCCCTCTTCCAGGATGGACAGACGTGCAATAGATGTCAGATGTGATTGGTTGTCACAGACACCCCCTTTGTAAGCCTGTAAGGTATGAGGACACCCAGTGGAAATTAAACGAACTGCTGACCATGAAAGTGTTGGAAGGTTGAGACAGACAAAAGTCATCACTGCTGCACTGTTGCATTTTTCCAGTTTTCCAAATATTTTAGTGTTGTGATCATTTTGTTTCTGGCATTATAGCGTTAGGTGAGAAATGTGTGCGCATCCCTAATGACATCAACCACACATATTCTCCCTGCACGATCTAATCTGTAGCGTTTAATTTACTCACTGTCATCCAGTGTTTGGAGAATATTCCTTATACCTCTTTGTGTTTTCACCATTTTCTCCTCTGATTAAGAAACTCTTAAACTTCTTAAAAGTCCTCCTCACAACTCTTTGTACTAGGAAGCTTTGTGAGTACAGCCTCAAATTTTCAGGAGGTCTTTACCAGGAGCCACATTATCCACAGGGGTCTCTTTGTCTCCGTAATAAACCGACCCGCTGATTAAAACCTGTAAAAACACTGAATGGAGCAGTTTCATGTTAAAAAAAAAAAGGTTTTCCAATGCTCCCATCGTGGAGGGGCTTCTTCCTACAGTGGCTGACATGAAAACGTAAAAATGTGAATGTCCCTATCTAGAGCCAGTGTTTGATTTGTCCGTTCTGGGCTACTGTAGAAACGTGACGGTGCAACATTGTGATCTCCGTAGACGAGGACCTGCTTCCTATGTAAATATAAACAGCTCATTCGAAGGCAACAACAACCCAACGATCCTTATTTTCAGGTGATCATACACCAAAGAAAACAATATTATTATTCCATTTCTGCCAATAAATCCCCCTGAATCGTACACACTGCACCTTTAAAAGAACTTATTCATATGTGCATTAGTGTGAGTAATCTTAAATGCTTTGTCAATATTTTAATGTGTTTTTGAAATGCTACTTTCAGCTGATATACGACACCTTGTCCTTCAGAAATGACTATAAATGAATGTAAATATGTAAGTAGAGATCATGTAATTTATTTTTCAATAAATATGATTGTCATTCTTATATCTGGTGTCGGGCACAGTGATGTATGGCCGCTCTAAGTATGTGAACTCTGGTATCTTCTCATGGTGTCCTATGTAAGGGTGTCACTTTTAGCACCTCTGCTGAGGCCAGGCCCCTCGTTAAGCAGCACCTCGGAGCCTCCAGAGTCAACAGACACGTGCAGCTGCAAACACATGGCATGTTTGTCCATTTGCTGATCATGTTAGAGCGGGCACTGGAGGTGTGAAAGTCTCAGCATGGCTGCCCTGTGTGCTACTGATCTCACAGATAGCTTTATTGGACGACTCAGCTGGCTGTCTTGGGCTTTGGGAATACTGTCACTCCACCTCTGAGAAACAAGTGACACCAAGATGAAATAATTTAAGAAAAACGAACAATACTGCACACCTATATCCAGGGACATGCAGGTGAGGTAAATCCTCAGTTACATTGGTAACAGTGTGTATCCACTTCTTCTGGATGAAGAAGATGCTGTAAATGTTTGTTTCATTTACCACATTCATTACTCAGAATACTACAGTTATTAATTACTTAATCTCAGATCCACTTGCTCTTAATCATCACCTTTCTGGTGCAGAAATCTGCTCTTGCAAATGTGTTTACACAGATCTCATAGACAGACCCCAAACTCTTTTGATGTAACTGTGTAAACAAAAGGAAAACATCTGTTCACAGCTGATAGAAATTACTTGAATAATTATGAAAGAACAGATGTGTTCAGGCAGATGAGAGAAAGCGTAAAGCAAAGGTTTGACTAATTCAAAGGTTTGAAACATCAGATGCAATGGAGACAATTCACCACCAGATGTCGCCCCAACTTCACCTTTCTGGAGGTCAGGCCAGGCCTGAATAGTTTCCTGTCACTGTGATTGAGTTTTGTCTGATGGACGTCCACCTGATGAGATAACTGGAGATCATATTGCAGAGGTAGATGACTTCAGACTTAAAGATCCTGTCTTACAGAGAGCAGAGCAGTTCTTAGACTCTGAGCTTCAAATATTTGAAATAAATCCTAAATATATAAACAAACACTGTGGTTTTTAAAAATTATGAACACATAATTCTACATTCACAGGTTCATGAATATGTGCGTAATGATAGCATGTAAATTCTCATTCATATCTGCTACAGTACAAATATGCTAATGAAAAAATAATGTGTTATTATTCCTCGTTTTGCTGGGACTCACAGGTTCTTTATGTTTGCAAGGATTTACACTTAATGAGTGAAAATCATCACTTTCTGACTGAGGCAGGCAAAATACTACAATCAAAATGTTACCTCAGTAAGAGAAGAGAATTAACCAAAGGTAAAAGTACTCTTTATGAAGGTAGAATGACTTTTTATTACTGTATCTACTCATGGATGGATTACTGAGTACAACTGAGCACAGGCCCTAAAGTGTCACTCCCCCCCCTGGCCTTCACCTGTAAAATGTCAAATGTCAAATGTCAAATTAACACATAACGACCAGGAAGAGACTCAAAATGACCAAAAAAGAGATGTAAAGAAACCATGAAGAGATGTAAAATAAATACAAAAAATAGCAGAACAAATACAAAGCAACACAAAACAAAAAGACGCAACGTGACCAAAAAGAGACATGAAACCACAAAGGGATGCAAAAGAACTGCAAAACAAACTACACTGACTATAAAAAATGGCAAAACAACCACAAAGACACACAAAACGATCAAATAAGACACATTACCTCAAAGACACATGACACAACCACGAAAAGACACAAAGTGACCAAAAAGAAACTACATCGAGATGCATATTGAGGACTTGAGCCCTTTTTAAATGGGAGCTGTGCAAATTTGCAGGAAAGTCCAATCAGTCTTTTTTCAGCATTGGCAGTACAAAAACAAAATTGGGGAGTGCAGCAAAATGCCGCCTACCTACTTTTGTTTATACAGAATGCACCTTTTTCAGGGCAATGGGGGGCGTGAGCAAGTAACAAAACGTGTAGCTCAGCGTGTGATGTAAACAGTGACGTGGGAGGGAAGCCGCAGCTGGTCAGTCCTTCGGGGATTCTCTCGTAAGTCGGCCCGTTCTTCACCGTCCCCGTCATCTGATGGTTAATGGCCTCTTCGTTTGCGAGGGCAAGGAGGGCGCACAATTCCTTCAAGTCATCAACAGCCCCTCTCGTTGCGGAAGGCCGCCTCGGTTTGTTTAAACCAAAAGGTTCCACTAATATGTCTACCCTATGTGGCGGAAAATTGGGCACCTTGGATCAACTCGCCAATCCAACCCTGTGTGTCTAAACGCTCGCAGCTGGCCGGCAAAATGGCCCAACATTCGCCAAACATCTGGCAGTGTAAAAGGGGCTTAAGAGATGCAAAACCACCACAGTCTGTGAGTACTTGCCTCTGTGTAGGAGAAGTGGGGGGGCCCCTTTGCATATCTGTGCTGAGAGGCGCATTTACTCATGATCCGCCCATGTATCCCCCTTACACCGAGGCATTAACATATGAGCTGAACTGTAGTGTTTATCTGGCCAAGATGAAACTTATTTTATTGTTTCCTCATACTGTTGAATAGTAAAACCTGTATCAAAATGTAATGTTTTATAAGCTGATCACATGCTTTATGTGTTAAGTAATTATTTGTAACAGTGACTGTTACTGTTAGGTAAATGTAGAGGATATGAAAAGTACAATATTTGTTTGATTAGTTAGTTGAGTTAGAAGTAAAATTGTTTTACCTTAAAATAATAGTGAGTACTCGGCTTTACTTCCCACTGCTGCTACAGTACACTCAGTCTGATCAACTTTAACATAAAAAAACAACAACAATTATACAAAAAGTCCAGACACTGTTGTTTCCTACATGATGTGTCGGTCTGTGTGTCACAGTTTGGCCTGGTTCTGTCCTGATCTGCCCGGTGACACAGTCTGAAAGCTGTGGGTCATGATTATTAATATCTGTGTGTTACACCTCTGCCTGGCAGGAGACACACAAGTTGTTTACAAACACGCTTTTATGAGGGAGACGTCACACACACACACACACACACACACACACACACACACACACACACACACACACACACACACACACACCCCTCCCTGCTCCGCTCGTCCCGCCCCCACCGAGCAGGGCTCATAAAAAGGCGGCAGCTCCTCAGCCTGGAGGTTAGTTCAAGACCCGCAGAGGTTTCTCACAGGAG